CCCCAAAACCCCAAAACCCCAAAACCCCTTATATTTAAAATAAGATGATAATTGTAGAATATTAATTTTATCACAAATTTGAGAATTCTATATTCTTGATTTACTAAATTTTAGAACAAAGTATCAAAGAGAGGAATTAGGTCCATATTTTTCGAAGAACTTTCTCTACTTGATATAGCCATCAACCTTTCTGAGATCACCATCTAGCTTTTTACTTTTTCTCCAATAATCATCAATCTAATATTCTTGTAATCTCTAGAAAAATAGCTTGCTTGAGTAATACTTTGTTCCAGTGATAGCCACTATACCAGGTAAGAGCCACTTAACATCTCTTTACTTGGCTCTTGCAATCAAAAATAAAAAACCTATTCCTATACCTACACCTTATACTCTCCCTTCCTCTCGTTTAACCTCTGCTAATTTATCTTCCTTCTTTTTATTTTTTAATTCATAGAAATTATCGAACAGATTAGGGTCAACTAGATTGTTAACATCAATATCAATATTCAGCATAAGTTCTTTTCTAATGAAATCGCGGTTCATTGGGGTTAGGTTTGTCTTAATATGCTCTATTCTTTCTTATTAGCTTTTCTTTTACTCATCGAAATCCGTTAAAAGCTTGTTAACGTCTTACGTCTCAGACATCTCGAACAATTAATATATTTTAATAAACTTAAATTATAAAATAGATTAAAAAGATAATGGATTTGAATTTGAAATAGGCTGTGATTGACATTCAAGTAAAATTTCAATTTTCTTATATCACTTAAGAGATTATATAGAGGCTACTTGGTTAGAAAGAAATTTAGAGAAGTGAAGTTTGAATTCATTAGTATTTTCAAAGAGTTAGAGAAAGACATGAATTGTAAGCTATTATGAAAAAGTATTTAAATATAGTGTTTGAATGCTAAATGGGAAATCATTATTATGAGAAGCCATTAATTCAGCCAAAGGGCACAGAAAAATTATATGAAGTATCGAGTTGGAATTCTTAAAGGAAAAATAACTTTGAAAAGCTTAAGATAGACTACAATAACTTACCTAGCATCAACACTACGCAAGTAAATAAGACATCTACAGAGAATGCAGAAAATAAAAATAGTTTCAGAGTCGAAACTGAGATATAAAAGGTTGAAGCTGAGCTTAAGAAAGAGCTGATGATTCTATGTAATATGATATCTTAAGCTAATTGATTAGCTGACTTCGATAAATGTAAATAAGCTAACTATTTATAATAGGTGTTATAAATTTTGAATTAATGAAATTAAAGTTTAAGACTTTTTAAGTTTTAATCTAATTTACAAAAGTAGTTCAAATAATATCGATAATTTAAATAGTGATTGATTAATCATTCAAGTTCTAAATTATGTACAACTTCTATATTATTATCCTTGGCTGGAATGGGCTTTCCATCCACATTTAAGTCTGGTAATCTATGACTGTATGTGTAATTTTAATCTCTAACAGTGAGCATCAATAAATCCTCCAACTATCTCTAATCCATCGACTTTAATTATGAACTCGTGGGGTTGTGAATTTTATGCAACTATTTCCCAGCCATAGGAGATTCTTCATGAAGCGATAATGTATTTCTGTAGCCTTTCAATGGACTTTCGTAAGCGCTCATCATAAAATTAAGATTTAAGGTACTATGCTTTACTGAGCCAAACATAACATTGCCATCTGTTGGCAGTTTCAAAAGCTATTTGCTGTTATGAGGTTTGGTCTATTATTCCTCAGGATAAATTGAGGAAAGGATTGACTAATGTACAAACTAGTTATTAATCTATGATCTTTGCGTAGGCTAGAAAGTTGAAATGTCATATCGATTATTATTTATCTGATTTCGATCTAGATTTTCTGTCATGAAAAAGGTTTGTGGCTCAAAATTGTTATTAGAGATCGTCATATCTTAGCTGTTATATCTTTTAAATGCGTCTGAAGATCTAAAGATTTCAATCTTAAATATATCCTGTGAATTACTATCTTTTCTTGTCAATGGCTCTGATTTTTCTCTTAATCTGTCAAGAATTTCCTCTTACTCCTGCATCTCTTGATTTAGCAGTTATTCTAAAGTCTCTGATTCTTATATTTTCTTCTTTAGCTCTCTGATTATACCCTTTTAATTTGAAACGTCAAACTTCAATGATTTCTTTCTCATATCGTGCAGCTGTGATATGCTTATTATCTTATCTTCCAGTATTTTCCTAGACATGTGCTGCTCAACTAGTCATTTATATCTTAATCTTAGTCTTTCCAGTTTCAGGCACGCACTTTTGTACTCTCTCTTGACATCGTTATATTTTGATTTGATATCATCGAACTAAAATTATTCCTATTCAAATATCTCTCTGTCTCTTTAGATTTTTATTTCGATCTACTCTGCTTCTAGCCTATAATAATCATTTTCTGATAGTATATTGAAGGCTTCCTATTCAAGATCCCTTTCCTTTTGCATCTTTTGAAATTTAAATTGCTGACTTTGGAATTTTTACCTAAGCTCTTTGTTTCCCATAGATAATTGAATGGTCTTTATTTGACTATCTAGATAGTTTATTTTATTAGTAAGCTGTTATTTTAAATTGGTGTCAGAACTCCTATCAACCCTTTTCTAAAGGACTTAATATTCCTATTCTAATTGAATAACTCTGTGATTATTACTAATCAAAAGCTGGTCAATAACTTAGGGGTCTGAGTTATGCTGTTATAGCATTTGGTAAGTTGGAATTTTTCTGTCTATTTTTTCAGGACTCTTTAAGAACTCAATTTATTTGTGATTATCGATAATCTAAGTTAAGCATGTATTCATCTCTTTAAGATATTTTCTTATTCTCAAATTCTCGTTATTTAAAGTTTCAATTTGATTATCAAGAAAGTAAGAGTCATCTCTGTATAACCCCAGATCAGGAACATTAATATTTACTACAATATTCTATTTCAAATTTGATTTGATTTTATCTAATAACCTATTTGGATCTATTCTCTGAGGAGATCTATCGTGAGCAAGTCTAATTTTATTATTTTACTGTCTATGTTTTACTAATTCTTAGATAAATTATTAAGCTTTATTTTTAGGTTTAGGGAACATTTAGTTTTGGTTTTGAACGTTAAAATCCTTTTTAAGTTTGACTAATCAGACTTTATTTTAAACTGTAAATGGCTTTACCTTTGGAGAGTATGAACTTATATTTGTAATAGCTTTCAAGCTAGTTATTCCAGTGTCGAAATCACTTTATTAATTTGTAAGAACTAAACCCGATACCTTCTTCTTTTTTGTTTTTGTTGTATTGGGATGTATTAATTGTTGTAACTTTATGAAATCTGGGGAATCATTTTTATCATATATTTCAATCGTATTCTTCAAATACTTATTCTACTGATCAACAATGTCGATTGTCTTATGAGCAGAAAAGACATGCTTTTTTAACTACTAAGGTTGTGGTGTCATTCTATTTGAATTGGAAGTTGAAGTAATAATGTTATTTCTAAACATATCGATTTCATGTACAATATTGGTATGGTAGTATTCATTGTCAAATATATTCTACCCAGGTTTTATATTAACTGTACTAGTATTACTTAAATTGTTCATAATCACTAGCTAAGATTTTACATTACTTTGATCTAGATACTGTTAATTAGATTATGGCCTAGATCTGAATCAACTCTGGTCTAATAACTCAGTATATTGATTTGCATTGCTTCTCTGTTGTACTTACAAATGCATTACCTATTAGTCATCCATGCTAATGTTCTGGAGCTAAATATTCCTAACTTTTCTCCTATCTAGTATGTTAGCTTTAGAGTTTACAGAGAGATTGCCTAAATTTGTAAAATCTCCTGCTGCGTCATTTGAATTAATACCCTCTTCTATCATTGAAATCACAATTTATAATAAATTTCTAACAATTTTATTTTAATTTTTTAATCATTTGGTTGCCTTTAGGGGTTTTGGGGTTTTGGGG